CCTTGTTGTTCTTCCTTAAACTTATCCCAGTCATCATTTGAAACAATTATTTATTCAACAAATATGTTTTGAATGCCTGCTATGTGGAGGACACCATCTGGTCACTAGAGATACAGAAGTATGAAAAACAAAAATATTCAACAAAATCTGTCTCAAAAACCACTACCTGCAAGGCATCAATTTAAGCACTTGGGATACATTAAGAACAAAGCAGTTGAAGACCTTTTCTATTCTGAAGGCTACAATCTACTGATTTGGAGTAGCATAGCAGACAATAAATGATAAATATTATGAATAAGTAGATCATCTGGCATGTTAGAAAGTAATAAATCTATGAGAAAAGAAAAAGGTAAAGAAATGCTAGTGTGCAGGAGTCCTGGGAAGAGGTGGGATTGGGGACCGATTTTAATAGGTTGTAATATTAAATAAGGTAGTTGAGGTCAGCCTCATTGAAGTAATTGAAGGTGCTAGCCATGTGGATTCTAGGAGAAGAGCATTTCAGGCAGAAGGAACAAATAAAGCAAAGGGAGTAAGATGGAAGAATTATTACTTTCTTAGAGGACAAGTAAAGTTATCAGTATGCATAGAACAAGAGAGGAAAAGGCAGATTAGTAGGAGAGATGTAAGGATGGGAGAGCAGTCATTGCTCATTGTAGATGCTTTGCTTTTCTATTGTGTAGAATGAAAGAAAAACCGAACAGAACACTGCTATGTTTTAAAGAGAGGCATTACTTGATCTGACTATAATGTAACAGAATCACTATAGATAATAACTCTGGCTGCCTTAAGAATGATGGTAAGGGGTCCAGTTTAGGAACAATGAGACCAGGTAGGAGATAGTTGTACTAATTCAAGTATTAGCAGATGGCCCAGAAAAAGGTGGTGACAGTGGAGGTCATGAGAATGGGTTAGAGCCCAGATAAATCGTGAAGGTAAAAACCAGTAAATATTTCTAAATGGATTGTACATGAATTGGCAGAAAAATGAGAACTCACAGATAACTCCAAGGTTTTGGTCTGAGCAGCTGGGATCCTGGAGTTGTCATCGATGAAGTTGGGGAAGGCTGAAATTGAAACAGCGTTAGGGGACAAGAATTTTGTTTTGAACATATTAGAATAAATTGGAATGTCTTTCAATGGGATATTGAGTTGGAGTGTCTCTCAATAGCTAAGTAGAAATACAGAATAGCAGTTAAATATATAAAAATACACAGTTTAAGAATAAGGTCTAAGCTAAAGATAGAAATTATGTGTTTTGGATGGTTAGACAAACAACAAATGTATAAGTATGTGATACAGCTGTTGTGAAAGATCTCTTTGTTATCGTGACATGTGGAGAAAACCCTAAAGAGAAAATCTCATTCACTTTTGGTGATTTCCCTTCTTCTCCCATAGATGGTGTCATCTAATTTTACGGTTTGACGTAGAAAATACACTGACTGCTCCCAACTACAGACTCATACAGTACCTTCTTGGCATCTTCACTTTGACGTATAGTGTAATCTCAAACTTAAGGTTTCCAAAACTTAGTTTCTTATCTTACCCCATCTTAACCCCAATCCACTTCTCCTGCAGATCTGCCCTTCTCAGTAAATGACCCCATCCTTCTAATTGCTAGAAACATTAAATTATACACTTTAATGGGTGGGTTTTATTGTCATGTAAATTATATCTAATAAAACTATTTTAAAAGCATTGACTTTTGTTTAAATAAGTAATTGGTATTTAGGTAAAAGTGACACAATTTATTTGAAAAATAAATATAAGTAACAAGGGTTTGAAGAAAAAAAAATATTTTTTTAAGCTACAAAACAGTTTTATTTTGATCTACTCAGAAGTTATGAAAATGTATGTAAAGGTAAACATAAAATGGATTTGGTGATTTGGACAGATGAAACAGTACATATAAAAGATCATTAACACTTCAGAAAAAAACAAAAAGAACTGAGCTCCAACATTTTCAGATGGAGAGTCCCAGATTCTCACGTAGCACAAAGACTACGTCGTTCACATCTGCTGCTTAAAAAATTAAAGAGATTGACATTCTAAAAGTGTTTTATTTTAGTTGTCTGATTACTGTTTATATTTTGTTAAATTTCTCTTACCTTGAGCCCATTTTAAAATATGCAATTTGTAAACAAGATTTTAATGGACCTCAGCTGCACAGAATTAGAATAATCATTTTTCTAATTTGGAAATTAACATCATTCAGTTGCACTGAGCAAATATTTGTTGAATACAGACATAAACACATGCACACATGCACACACATATATACAGCTATCTACCACTCTGTTTCCATAGCTACACATATATATTACATACGTGGTGTTTATCTATACCATACAGCATGTACAGTTTTACCCTGTAGATTAACCTGCAATATGGTAAAGAGAGAACTGGGCTGGGAATCTGATGTTTTATATCTTAATTCAAATCATCTCTGTGAACCTGAGGTAAATTGATTACCCAAGTCTTTGTTTCTCCAAAGTTCCTTTGGACTCTAAAATCCTAAATGTGACTTCTCAATTATATAAAATATTTATCAAAGTATGCATTTTGGGTTTAGTATTTTTTTTGTAGCTTTTAAGAATCAGCTTTATTAATGTATAATTTACATACAATGAAATGCACTCACTCTAAGTGTACAAATCTGTGAATTCTGATAAATGTTCATACATATGCAAACCACTTCAATCGAGTATAGAACATTCCCAGCAACCCTGAAAGTGCCTCCCTGTCCCTTTGTAGTCACTCCCCAGCCCCAGGCAAAATCAATCTGCTTTCTTGTCACTTAGATTAGAATTATCTTTTCAAGAATTACATAAAAATGGAATCCTACACTACATATTCTTTTGTGTCTGCCTTCTCTCAACATACATTTTTGACATTTTTTCATGTCATTGCAGACATCACTAATTTTTTCTTTTACTTTCTGACTCATTTTTCACTGTATTAATATATTTCAAGGTACATTTGCTTACCTCTATAACGCCCTGTTTCAAAGACTGTATTATGGACATTAAGTGACACATTACTGTATTTTTGTCATAATTACAAAATTACTTGGATGCTTTATCTAGCTGAATGTAACTAAACAAGCATTAGCTTTATATAGAAGGCCTACCTTCCTCAGAGTAAGAACTCCCTCTAATTTATTAAAAAAGGCAATGAAATCTGTGTCCGTTTTTCTGTACTATTTTTAATTTTCTCAGAGCTTTTCTGCTGTTTTCTGTTCTTCCTCCCTTCTCCTACAGTCAGCATAGCTCTACAGTGATTTAATTCCTTAGAATCACACACTATGCAAAATCACACAATAAAAAAGCCCTGGACCTATGGGGGGAAATGGAGTTCAGGGCACATTATGCAGAAACCTTCTCAGTGACATAAAACATGAGAGAGAGACCTAATAAAAATGGTAGCACAGTTTTACATGTTAGATGGTTAAGAAATACACAAATGTACTAATACATCTTGCTCTTTAACTTGGAAAAGAACTGAAAGTTGCTTATGGAAATGAGTGTCAGAGAGCTGCAACTGTGAAGTATTGTGAAGCATTGGAAGGAAGGTTGCTTGACATGAGACAGGAAGTGGATGGGGACTCCACAATACATGGTGAACAGAGATAGCTCTTAAGTGAGGATTGAGCCTATGTGCCTTTTGTGTATTACTACCTGGCTGGTTTCAGTAGGTGCAGTTAGGTGCAACTGAATGTGCTTTCCTCATGCTTCTTGGGGACAAGATTTTACAGAAGAAAATAGAACATTCACATTGTATTCAAATTGCTTCTTTTTAAGTAATAATAATAATAATATTTTATTGTGTTTTCAGTAAAGATTTACAAAGCAGTTTAGGTTCCCATTCAACAATTTCTACACAAACTGTTTAGTGACCTTGGTTACATTCTTCGCAATGAGTGTTATTATTTCCATTCTGATTGTTCCATCTCTGTTCATCTAGTTTCCTTGCCTCCTTACATTCTCATCTTTGTCTCACAAAGTAATTGTTGACTCTCAAATTGCCAATTATATTGGAACAAATTTGCATTTTCAAAAGCAGCTTTGTACAGAATTTACTGCACTTTCTTTACCCTATCTTCATACTTTTCTCTTTCTACCTGGTTAGCACTTTTTGTCTTCTGAATTACTACACTTTTTTTCACCTCAAATCTTCTCCAGTAAAGCTAGACTATAGGGCGTCCTCTGAAGAAGTGGCTGACTGGTTTGTGGGCAGCCCTAGCAGAAAGAAAAAGAGCAATCTCCAAATTATTAACTCATTTCAGCCTTCTTCTGAGTCTCCTTGTGTGCACACAAGGCTTTGATACAATACAGAAATCAGGACTTTTCTATGTTATACTCTTGTTATAGATAGGGCAGACTCACAGCGGGAATAACCTTTAAAAAATTATGTAAGCTCTTTCTCTGAGTGCCTTTGAAAATAAAACTTATAAAGTCACAAGGAATTTGAATAAGAACAGAAAATATTGCATAGTTTCTGTGTCCTTATTCAATAACATTATGATATGTTACACAAATACAATATTAATAATAATTAGTTTTTATATAATTTATTGAACTAATAGGTATCATTTGTGGATTTTAGGAGACACCTGTTTTGTAATAAGACATGTTGTTGTTAGGTGCTGTCGCATTGGCTCTGCCTCATAGCGACTCAGTACAACAGAACAAACACTGGCCAGTCCTGTACCATGCTCACAGTCTTCGCCTGAGCCCATCGTTGCAGTCACTATACAAATATAACAATATACGTATATTGCTTCGATTCCAAATGCCTCAAGTTTTGTGTTTGAAAAGTAATGGTCTACCTTTACATTTTAATATCAGTTAAGATTTTGCTTAGGAACTTAGTTTTTCTTCAAAACTAGTTATTTTCAAAAATCCTTATTTCTCAGCATGAAAGATATATCTGTTTCAGTTTTCTAAGTTTATGAATTTTAAAAAGTTGAATAAATCTTCGCTACCATTTATTCTTTTTCTACAGCGTTTGTCCAATGGTTCTATAGATTCAACAGATGAAACTAGTCAAATAGTTGAACTACAAGAATTGCTTGAAAAGCAAAACTACGAAATGGCACAAATGAAAGAACGTTTAGCCGCCCTGTCTTCCCGAGTGGGAGAGGTGGAACAGGAAGCAGAGACAGCAAGAAAGGATCTCATTAAAACAGAAGAAATGAATACTAAATATCAAAGGGACATCAGGGAGGTAAGTGATTCATGACGCTTTCAGTCTTTGCTTCCTGAATGCTATCCTGAGAGGCTAGCTCCATAATTTCCCCTAACGGCATATATTCTCTACATCTTCTCAAAAGACTATAATTTGGGATGAATTTTATTAGTTATGAAACTTGTTCAGGAAGCCAAAAATAGTTTACTTCATTAACTCTTTAAATATATACAGAAAGAAAGCAATAGCATCAAGTCTCATATGAAATAAAAACTTCCTGAATTTTTAATGATTTTTTTAGAGTATTGAGCTTTGACCTTTAAATAACCCAGGAGGTAGGTATGAATAATGAATTGTTCTACTCTTAGTATATGGGAATACTCAAAGACATTTCTTTAAATTGTCCCCTTTCTTATTTTGGTTTTGTGTCTATGAATATGAATGCTGTAATTACGGATATTTTTCTTGTTCTATACAGTTCTTGCTAGACTTAGCACCATTGCACTTATTTAAAAAAGAAAGTACCTTAAAGTTATGAAAGATTCAGGGAAGTGTTTCATTTGTAACATTGCTGAATCATCTTACCACCTAAGAAGCAAAGTTTAGAATCTTTTCACCCTTTCACTCTGTTCAGTAAAAACCAAAACTATATAGAGAAATTTAATTTTATGACTTTTAATCTTTTGCTTGATGCACATTTTACTTTGTGCGTGTTTACCTTTGTACATCTTTTATATTAAATTAAGTAGTTGTTAATTGAGTTGGCTCTATTTTCTGTATCTGGTTCCCCGTGCTCTCTCTTGAGGCCATTTTAAATCATATATTTTCCTCCACTGTGCCATCAAAGCAGTCCCTTCTCAGTTGACCCGCACTCCTTTGTAGACCCCATGGCTCTAAAAATGATCCATCATTTTACAATAACCAATGTATACCTCTAGTTTGTCTGTCTCTCCTGCCTGCAGTCTGTACTCAATACAACAGCCTGATTAATATGTTACAATGTAAGTCAGCTCATGCCAGTTTTCTGATTACAAACCTTCAATGGCTACCTATCCCATGTAGAGTAAAATCAAAATACTTATATTGGCTTACATGCCATGCATAATCTTCACTACCACCCTGTGACCTCTTGAAACTCAACTATTGTTTCATCCTCACCTACTCTGGTTTAAGAGGTCAGTTAAGGTGACCTCTTAAACAAACCAGGCATGTTCCTCTTCATTTTCTGGTTCATCTGCTTTTTTATCTGTAGTTCCTATACTGTCTTCTCAGTGATGCCTTTCCTGACCCTGCTATTTACATACATGTGTGCTATCCTCCTCCTTTCAACTAATTAACTCACTGCACCTACTGCCATCTGACACAATACAGATATACTTTGACAATTTACTTATGGATCATATGTATATCTCTCCAGCTATATATAAGGACACATAAAGACTAGGATTTTTATTGTTTTGCCTTGTTTACTATTCTGTTCTGTTGTTGTTGTTATGTGTGGTCGAGTCGGACCCGTCTCATAGCGACCCTTCCTTGGGTTTCCGAGGCAGTATCATTACAGAAGGATATTGCCCCATCCTCCTTCTGTTCTAAACACCTACAAAGATATTGAACATATAATAAACCAAACCCACTGCCATCGAGTCGATTCCAACCCATAGAGACCATTTAGGAGAGAAAATAATTGCCCTTAGGGTTTTCAAGGCTGTAAATCTTTACGGAAGCAGGTACCTCATCTTTCTCCTGTGGAGCAAGTGGTAGGTTCAAACTGCTGACCTTTTGGTTAGCAGCTGAAAGCTTTAACAACTATACCACTGGACTTTGAACATTTAATAGAATGTTGAAAGAATGGATATTTAGAGTTGTTTACAATAAGTAACATCAAAAGGAGCCTTGGTGGTGCAGTGATTTAGTGATTTACTAATAGGCTGCTAACTGAAAAGTTGGTGGTTCAAACCCATGAGCCGTTCCTCTGGAGGGCGATGCGGCAATCTTCTTGCATAAAAATTACAGCCTTAGAAACCGTATAGGACAATTCTGCACTCTCTTTTAGGCTTGCTATGAGTTGAAATAGACTCCATGACAATGGATAGATAGTAAACATCCAAAAGTGTGAATGAGATTAGAGTATGTACTAAAACAATACCTACTGTCTCAGAAAAAGATGGATGCTCCATGAAGGTGGGCTGCTATCCTCCAGCACACTGTGTTCTCTACACTTTTCTGAGTTGGTGGTTCTTGGCCATGTCCCCCCTCCATCCTCTCTACAATCCAAACCCAGCAAATATATAAAGTTCATGTAGTCTGACCTCTCTTCTATATCACTATTAAAGAACCGTTAGGATTTCTGGCTCTAAAACCACCAGGGTCATTTCTTGATCTTTTACTCATTCTGCATTTCTTCTATTCACTTAGTCCCAGAGATTTATCGGTTTTCCTTTCATTTTTAAAATGCACTCATCTACTTTATTCACACTTATCTAATCTAGTATCACTTACATGTAGGGCCCAGTATCTCTAGCTCCTTCTTTCTTATTACACATCTAAAAATAACCCTTTGATTCTGAAATTCTCTAGATGTAGGTGAAAAAAAAGCCTAGTCTGATGGAAAATGTCATTTCTCTGATGCCAGGTATCCTTTTATTAGAAATCTGTTTGAATAGATAAGGTGTTCTTTCATACGGAACTCTCTGAATATATAAATATTCTTATCAGCTCTCTAATTTCTATGTAGCTCTATTTTAAAAGAGTTCCATGAGCAAGGAATATTTCTTCATCATCTATCTTTGAATGGAGGTACAAACACGAATGCTTTCAGAGCCAGGCAGGCAGTATAAATGGATAGAGTATCAAATGTAAGCTACTATGAAGTGATGGAGTTAATGTGACCTGTGCTAGGAGCCTGCACCATTCTTGTGTGTGTGTGTGTGTGTGTGTGTGTGTGTATTTAAAGCATTTGTACAGGCCAAATAAAATATTTCTGAAAAATTTTACGACTCAGGCCATAGACTTCTGATGTGCTAAGGATTTCTTGGTCATCAACCATGTGTGAAAAACTATTATAGATGTCTTAAATCTAAGGAGCTCTGGTGGCATAATGGTTAAGCATTTGGCTGCTAACCAAAATATCAGTGGTTCAAACACACTAGGTGCTCCAAAGAAAAAAGATGTATCAGTATGCTTCTGTAAAGATTACAGCCTTGGAAGCCCTGTGGGACACACTTCTCCCATATTTGGTGTTACCTTTCTCTTGACCATAAATAAAAATGACTGCTGCCTAGAGAATGTAACCTCCTCCCTACTCCTGGTAACCACCAATTAACATTGGTTTCTCTGTATACAGCTGTATACACAGCTCATTTTATAAAAGTGAGGTCATATAGTATTTGTCATTTTTTGACTGACTTATTTTGCTCAGCACAATATCCCTTAGGTTCATCCATGTTTTGAGATGTTTCTAGAATTCATCTTTTTTCACAGATGCATAGTATTCTACTATGCATCGATATGCATCTATGCATATGCAGATGATACGACTTTGCTTGCTGAAAGCGAAGATGACTTGAGACATTTACTGATAAAGTTTGAAGAATACAGTCTGCAGTATAGATTACATCTCAATATAAAGACAACAAAAATCCTCACAACTGGACCAATGAGTAGCATCACAATAAATGGAGAGAAGATTGAGGTTGTCAAAGAATTCATGTTGCTTGGTTCTACAACGAATGCCAATGGAAGCAGCAGTCAGGACATTAGACGACGTGTAGCACTGGGAAGGTCAACCATAAAGGAAATGTTTCAAGTGCTGAGGAGCAAGGATATCTCCTTGAGGACTAAGGTGCACCTGACACAAGCCATGGTATTTCCAATTGCCTCGTATCCGTGTGAGAGCTGGACAATGAATAAGGAAGACCGAAGAATGCTTTTGAGTTGTGGTGCTGGCGAAGAATGCTGAAAGTACCATGGACTGCTAAAAGAACTAACAGATCTGTCCTGGAGAAAGTGCACCCAAGATGCTCCTTGGAAGCGAGAATGGCCAGACTTCGTCTCACCTACTTTGGTCATGTTGTAAGAAGGGACCATTCCCTGGAGAAGGATGTCATGCTTGGTAGGGTGGAGGGTCGACGAAAGAGGGGAGGCCTTCAATGAGATGGATTGACACGGTGGCTGCGATGATGGGCTCAAGTATAGCAGGGATCGTGGAGCTGGTGCGGGATCGGGCAGTGTTTCATTCTGCTGTGCATGGGGTTGCTATGAGTCAGAAACAACTCAAAGGCACCTAACAACAGCAACATAATATTCTACTATATGAATGTACAACATTTTATTTATCCATTCATCTCTTCATGTGTACTTAGGTTGTTTCCATCTTTTGGCTATTGTGAAATATATAATTCAAAGAACAAAGGTGTGTATATGTCTATTTGAGTTTCTTCTGTTAGATCTCTAGGGTAAATACCAAGAACTGGAATTGTTGGATTATAAGGCAGCTTTATTTCTAATTTCTTGGGGAATCACTGTACTGTTTTCCATGTAGTCATACATTTTACATTCATACTAGCAGTGGATAATGGTTCCAATCTATCCAAATTCTTGCCAATATTTGCTGTTTTCTGTTTGGTGATGATGTTGATGATGATTATCAATGCCATTTCAACAGGAGTATGATGGTATTTTATTGTCATTCTGATTTATACCTCTCTAATGGCTAAGGAAGGAGCTCTGGTGGCATAGTGACTAAGGCATTTGACTGCTAACCAGAAGGCTGGCAGTTCAAGCCCACCAGCCACTCCTCAGAAGGGAGATCAGGCAATCTACTCCTGTAGAGATACTGCATCAAAAACCCAAGGTCAATACGAGTTGATTTGATTCAGTGGCAGTGAGTTGGTTTGGTTTGGAATGGCTAATGAAGGAACCCTGGTGGTACAGTAGTTAACATAAAAATACAGCCCCCATTTTACCAAGTTGGTTTTTTGCAACTCTGCCCTTAATTGTACCTATCTGTATGATTATGATGAACTAATTTATCTGCCAATTCTCTCTTCTTAGATAGTTCCAAAATGTACTCCTTTTCATTTTCAGAGAGTGGAATGCTTTTGGTTACCCCAAGATGTAAGGAGAATTGTGACAGATAAGTTGGAAAACTCATATGAAGTCTTGCATGTATTACATGAAAAGAGAGGAATGGATACTTCGTTCAAAAAAAGCTGTAATTTCCATACCTTACACCCTTTTATTTAAATAAAAAGACAATACATGAAACTCTCTGCATAGTATTTTAGTAGAATTTTTATTTATTTATTGGTTGTTTTAATTGTAGGCCATGGCACAGAAGGAAGATATGGAAGAGAGAATCACGACCCTTGAGAAGCGTTACCTCAGTGCTCAGAGGGAATCTACCTCCATACATGACATGAATGATAAACTAGAAAATGAGTTAGCTAATAAAGAGGCCATCTTACGGCAGGTTCAGTATCTCTGTCTTCTTCTTCTTTTTTTTTTTTTCCTCTGGTCTGTTTATGTGCTCTCACTGGTCTCACAAAAACACAGAGTAAACAAAATAGGTCAGGTGTGCATTTCTTAGCATTTGATCATTTTAAAAAATTTAAAATGAAACTGGCAAAACAGATGTCATTTTCAGTATGTAATTTACTTTCTAGGAAAAAATATTGTCTTAATAATAACAAAAGTAACAACTATTATTTATTTTAGTTCTAGATGTGTTCCAGTAATTATGGTAAGGTGTTTATATGTAATACCTCACTTAATTCTAAACACCACGTATGAAGTAGACATAATTATTACACTGAAGAAATTAAGGTTCAAAGATGTTAACACTTTATCATGGTCTTAAGCTAGAACATGCCAGAATCAAAAATGGAAGACTAAGTCTATTTGAGAGGAACTCCAATGGCACAGTGGTTAAAGCATTCAGTTGCTAGCAGTTCAAACACATCAGCTACTCCACAGGAGAAAGATGAGGCAATCTGCTTCAATAAAGATTTATAGTCTTGGAAACCTTATGAGGCAGTTCTAATCTGTTCTATCAGGTTACTATGAGTTGGAATCTACTTGATGGCAGTAGGTATGGTGTTTGTGTTTTAAAGTCTACTTGGCTCTAGAGCAGGGATCAGCAAGCTAATATTCACAAGCCAAATCTAGTTACCTGCCTGTTTTTGTAAATAAAATGTGACTGGAACAAAGCCAATCCCATTTATTTACTCATTATCTATAGCTGCTTCTGTGCTACAACAGCAGAGTGGAATAGTTGGGACAAATACCATATGGCACACAAAGTCTACTGTATTAACTAATCTAACCTTTTATCGGGAGCTCTGCTGGCGTAGTGCCTAAGGCATTTGACTGCTAACCAGAAGGCTGGTGATTAAGCCCACCAGCCACTCCTTGGAAAAGACTGGGCAATCTACTTCCCAGTAGAGTATCTCTCTTCCATAGAGATACCACCTCAGAAAACCAAGGAAGGATTGCTATGAGCCTTTTATAGGTAAAAAAAAAAAAAAAAAAAAAAAAGCCAATTCTATCTCTAAAGCCTGGACTTATAACCATTATATGACATTCCTTCTCCATAGTGGGCTAAGGTTATGGTTTTCAATAATTTGCTATCATAGTACATCTGAAGTCTTAATACTGAGCTGAATTCCCTTCATTCAAGTTTATATTAATCAGTAATTTATTTTCTTTTTGCTGCAAATGATAAGAGCTCTATTTTGTTTCTGTGCTGAATTTCTTTAAGATAGAAAGATAAGCAATGTGAAAATATGAGGGCATCATCATTTTGCACATTTAGGTGTATAATAGCTGGTTTAAAATCAAGAAAAATGGCTGAAGCCCAAAGCCCCTAGTGTCTGTTGTTTTCTATCCTACCCCTGACCCTTTAGGTAAGAGTCTATTTTATCATTCCTTGCAGATGGAAGAGAAGAACAGACAACTACAAGAACGTCTTGAGCTGGCTGAGCAAAAGTTGCAGCAGACTATGAGAAAGGCTGAGACCTTACCTGAAGTAGAGGCTGAGCTGGCTCAGAGAATTGCAGCTCTGACAAAGGTACTGCACTGAAACAATCAGTCACCCTAGATACACTAGTAGAAATGACATCATAATAAAATGGAATCTAAAATATTTTCTTTGGACTGTTTGGACTATGAAATTTAAGTTAATTTAATCTTTATTATGTTTATCTGTTATTTAGATGAAATCTTCTTATTACAAATATCTCACTTATGTGGACATGAGTAATTGACAAAAGAAATGTGCACATCTTATTGCCTGTTTAAACATTAACAAACACTAACAGAATTTTATGTAATTATAGTTATTTTTCCATTGTAATACTTGCACATAAGAATAATCACAAATGGTAAATGTACAATGATGATTTTTAATATATGTATACATGAAACAATCATTTAATGGGCTTAATATTTTTGATATTAGAAATAGAGTAGTTGTTTCCTTTCTGCCTATGTTGTTACATGCCGTCGAGTCAGTTCTGACTCATAAATGTTGTATATAACAAAATGAAACACTGCACAGTCCTACACTATCCTCACAATCATTGCTGTTTGTGCCAGAATCACTGTATCAGTCCATCTAAGTGAGGGTCTCCCTCTTTTTTGCTGGCCCTCTATTTTACCAAGAACGATGTCCTTCTCCAGGGACTGATCCTACATGATAACATGTCCTGATAACATGAGGATGGACAAGTCCTCCATCCTCACACCTAAGAAGCATTCCAGCTATACTTCTTCCAAGACAGATTTGTTCATGCTTCTGGTAGTCCATGGTATAGTCAATATTCTTTGCCAACATCACCTAATGATCAAACTTGTGAGAAGTTGGAAGTCAGGGTTGTAGTCTAAAATCTAAAGCCATTAAATAGAAAATTGTTTTCCTAAAAGTAATTTCTTCTGAACCAATTAAAACTATAACAACATCAGTAAGGATGTTCAAAATTACATGCTATGTTATGGTGAGGAGCTCTGGTAGCATAGTGGCTAAAGCACTTGACTGCTAACCAGAAGGCTGGCGGTTCAAACCCACGAGCCACTCCTCGGAAGGAAGGTTGGGCAATCCTACTTCCGTAGTGATACTGCCTCGGAAACCCAAGGAGGGGTCGCTATGAGTCGGGGCCGACTCGACAGCACATAACAACAACAACAACAACATGTTATGGTGAATAGTATCTTAAGATTATCTGCATATTTTAGTATTTCACAATCATTAAAATATTAAAAAGATCTATTTTTACTTCATCTTTTAGAGGTAGATGGAAATGACATGGCTTCAAAGTGACTATGCATGTCTCTAGAGTAAAAGTCCATAGTATGGTAATCGGGGCCTGAAATCAAATGTGCATGAACTGTTCAATGTAAAATGAATTTGTTTTGTAAATTTTCACCCAAGGCACTATACACACACACATAGAAACATATTTTAAATGTTCACACAATTATTAATATTTACTAGGTATACCAGGGCATTGCGATAAGGTATGTAAACTGAAAGTTACAAATTCTTGTTTTAAAGATTATCCAAAGAAAAAGATGGCATCATATACCTGCTTTCCTAAAGTAATAAATAATTAATGAGGAACAGTTGTCATAGCTGCCTGTTGGTTAAAATAGAGGAATTAGTCAAATAGTGAAAAGGCAAAGATTTGACTCCCCCCCAAAAAAAAAAAAACAGGATTAGGAAGTATTGGGATAGCTGGTAGTCTGTAGCATTTTGGAGTAACTAATTGAATAAAACATAAGTCTGATGGTGGTAAACTTATAATATGAATACTGCCATTGCTGCAAATCATACTGTTGACAATTAAAAATCTTTGAGGTTACCCCATCAGATGGCAATGGGCTTTCGTGTGAATCAGAGCAAATCCATCATCATTAATAGAGAAGGGCCAGGATGGTAGCCTAGTGACATATTCTTGAAATATAAAAAGTGACAATATTTTATTTATCATGCAGCTATTAGTGATAGGAGCATTGTTTTCTTTCATAGAAGATTTCTTTCATATATTTTCTTTTGATTCAGTCTTATTTGAAAGTGTGAGACATTAAATACAGATTATGAATCTTGGAAGTTATTTATTATCTCTCTGTTTCACCTAGTATATAGTATGATGCTTCTTAAATTCAAATATTAAGCATATTAAAAATTAAAAATACTTGATTCGTGAGTCAAAAATGATTTTTCTACAATGCAGCAAACACAAGAAATGTGGTATGTGAGAACAGTGGAATGCTAGTGTCATTTATGTGATTACAAGCCAGGGTTCTGCCCAGTTTGTTTGACTGATTAAGATTCAATCAGTGTTTTGAAATAATTTATTGGCAAAGACTAAGTTCAGTAAGTTATACCTTGAGGAACTGACACTTCTTCTGTACAATTACCTTCAAAACATTATCCCCAGAATTGGGCTCTGTTAGCAATCATTTTACTGAGGTGGAGTACTTTACAAAATATTCTAATTCTTGGAGTCGTTTTATTAATAGGTAGTATTAGAAAGTATGGGATAGTTGGTTGTGTAGAATGTTGGACTGATTAACTGAATAAAACATTGGCCTCATTAAATAGAGTAAAATTTCTGTTTGGATCCTTCCATAGTCACAGACCATACCCATAAACCCCTCTGACAATTTCAGCAATGTAGTATTTCTAATATAAACATAAATTGATCCTTTCATTAGAGAAATAGTTCTGAAATTATATAAAAATAGGTAAACATATTAATAATACTAACTTTTTCTTATGAAAACATTTTAAAGTAATGTAATGTGAGTTTATATATATATATAAACTTATATTTTTAGTCAGACGAACATGAAGAATTTTTACCAAGAGTTCCGCTGTTGATTTGCACTATTCGGAAGGCAGGATGGGGAGTTAGGAAGGTATCATGAAAGACAACTTCTGTGCAACTTTAGGGTAAAATAAGGAATCATCACTGTTGCCCACCAGGAAAACACTAGAATATCTGGACACAAAATTTAAAATTCAACAAATACTGGTCCTAAATTACATGTGATTAATGGGGAATAAGATATAAATACAATATTTGATGTATGTGACTTTAAATTACAATTTTCTAAAAATTCTTGATTAGAATTAAAAAAAAAATGCTAGAAGTAGATGCTGCTTCTTTTTTGCCCTTTTTATTCTCTTGGGCACTTACTTTGTTATATTATATTCACTTATACACACAAAATACTGTCTTAATTTCCCTCCTGGCTGATCTATTTCTAAAACTCCATTCCCTTTGGAGCCTTTTGATGTCATCATTTTTTAGAGTTTTATTTTTCTTAAGAGTTTTCAAATGTTACGACTCATCCTTCTTACCTTTACTACTTTCTTTTCTGATTGGTTCTGTATCAACAGGATTATTTGAGATATACAATTTTTGGATATTTATCACCCAATTTAATTAATATGGATGCTGAATTATTCCTCAATATACTCTTTGTGCTTATAACATTGTTATAATGTTTGAACATATCACTCTTTCTTTTGTTTTCCCAAATTTATGGCTTCTAGGAATTTTACTTCTTGCTGTACTGTGTTCCCCAGACCTATACACAGTGTCTTCATAGCTGCCTTTTCTTTCCTTGGTCATTTATTTTCAGTATTTCATTATTCTTTATCACAATAATCCTTTTCTACTTCTTAACCTACTTGACTACATTAAAGTAAAATGATGTATGCTTAGTTTAAACATAAGTTTATCTTTTCTGTCTTTGGGAATGACATTCTTAACAATTCCTCAGACATTTTATTTAGTCTATAATTTTTCTCTTCATTTACTATCTGCCACCTATTTTTTTTCCTTCTCCAGTTCTGAATATGTTCACACTTTTTTCCAAACTGTTTTACTTGTCTTTCCTCCTCAAAATATCTTTATCTGAAGTTTTCACGTTAAAGAGCAAAACCAGATAAACTCTACTTTCTACCAAGTAGCAAAACAAACAGAAAAGAGTTGATTGTCCCTGTGTGACTCTTGTGTTTATACCAAATGCTTAAATTATAGTTTTTACAAGGCTGAAATGCACATAAATCAATAGTATTGATTGAAAGTGACCTCATTGTATAGTTTTAAGAAATGATGTCTGGATTTATTCTTTTATTGTTAAAGCCACCTTTCTTTTTCTTTTCCTTCTATTACGTGTATAGAAGGCAATGGTGGCTCAGTAGTAGAAGTCTTGCCTTTCATCTGGGATTCCCAGGTTTGATTTCCAGACAATGCTCTAGCACAGCCACCATTGTCTGTCAGTGGAGGCTTGCATGTTGCTATGCTGCTAAACACGTTTCAGCAGAGCTCCCAGATTAGGACACACCAGGAAGAAAGGCCTGGTGATCTACTTCCAAAAAGCAGCCAGTCAAAACCCTATAGACCAAAAAATTTGGGGTCTGACTTTACAGCAGTTAACAATGTGTGTGTGTATTATCTATATATCTTTACTGATATTGATATATATGGATACATAGACACACGTATACATATATATGATGAAGCTCATTTAAGGTTTTGAGAAAGTCAGAAATACATATAATGGCTATTAAAAAATTTTTAAAATTGCAAGTATATTCACAATTAGCTAATAAAAATTTTGGTTTCTTAATCTTATGATCTATTATGTTTTCTGTTTCCTTAATTAAGTGCATAGTCCCTCAGCAAGGACATAATTCATCTTGTGTTCCATGAGGTATCGCATAAGTTTTATGACCAATAAAAAGTATCAGCGGTAATGCAGGAATTTTACCATGACCAAACTCTTTTTCCCCCTTTGAAGTGAACTTTTGACATGTTTGGTGTATTTCCAATATGCAAGATGGGAACAGACAGACCTTTGAAATACTTTTGAAAACTTATTTTATGAAAAGTTTTGGAAGTTGAAGCTTGCATGTCTTGACTACCTAGAATCAGTCAACTTGTAAATTTTAGTACCACTAAGGGACAGTTAAAATGTACTCTTGAGAGATTGCAGATACCTTTATGAATTTAAGTTATATAATTGTAACAATTTTGATACATTTTCTGTATTTTTAATTGAACTCTAAATTTTAAATGATATTATAGAAACAGTTTATGACATTTGGGGATTATGGTAGCTTTCTATAATAGCTTGCTATATTTGCTTCTGTTTAGAAATTTGGGGAGGAAATGAAGAGAGAAATTGGTTATCTGTTATTTCTTTATTACTTTTTCCATTTATGAAATCTTATAAAATATAGATGTTATATTATAATTTACATATGCATACCAGATTTGAAATTTTAAATGTGTAGTTCATAGATTAAATTATAATTTGTTGCATAAAATAGAACTTATGCATATGAATTAATATATGAACAGGTTACTATTTCTTTTCAGGAACTGCATGACATGTTTTTATATAGACCTACATTTGCATAGTGTAAATTTTAGTTTTAGAATGAATTTGTAAAATGTGATAGAATGTTTTTGGAGTTAAAATTTTAGATATAGGGTACTTTTGATGTGATAATTATTTAACTTGTGATAATGTTTATAATATTGATGTAACTTTATATGTAATCTGTACATAACATATAATACAATTCAACTATCAGCAATGTCACATGTGTTGAACATGGTGCACCTGTGGTAATGTGATCACCTTCAAAACATCTAACTAATCTCGGTCCTGAGCAAACATTAGCTCACAAAGGCACTGTGCTGCCTATTCACTTTAGGGCACTATTTTTGTTTCCATAGCAATAAATCAATGCACAAGCAGTTTGGGACTGGTCCCCAGTGTAATTCAAGAAAGTTCACCAATAAGTTTATTGTCCTCACAGCATTTTTGTCATCTTGATAATTTGAGGACTTTTGATCATTTTCATATAAATTTAAAATTAAGCCTATATCTGAAACAGACGATTAAATTCTAGGCTGACAGGCATAATATGTATTCAGAGACAAGAAATCATCTCATAAGTTTGCCACTGTTGCTGAGGAAACTCAGTCCTACTTGATTTGGGAATTTTCATAATTAACCCCTTGTCTTAACTTTTTTCTGATTTCAACAGTTTAGGGTTTATACTAAAGTTTGTTCTAAATTTATTACCCCTGAATCATTGCCTTAGAATATTCCTCATATTGAAACACATTGTTTCCAATGATTTTTTAAGTAATATGATTAAATAAGCAAACAAAATTACAAAACTTTTAACAATTTATCAGAGACATATTCTAGTGTTTGGTTTCCCATAATTCCAATTATTACATGACTTTTTCAGAGTTGCTTTGATTCATTCTATAGAAGTCATTCATCAGCCGACCATCACTAACCTTCCATACATTAGGTTGATAGCATTTTGTTTTAGCATATCACTGTTTTTCATTTATAACCATCAACTGCATCATGTTCACCAGATATCAGTGTAGTTCTTTCCACATAAAATTCTGTCTATTAAAGTATTAAATTTGCTGTCACACTTTTCTTTTAAGCATTCTGTGCTATGTTTTGTTCAGTGTCAGTGTCTTCAGTTCTGATTTTTCAATTTGTCCCTCTCCTTTTCCTTGACTTGTTAGTCTGATCCAACCTCTTCTACCTCATCTGATGATTATCAATATGTTATGGAAGCTAAACTACAAGAAATGATCTCCATACGTAGGAAGGTAGTCCTACTGGACTTTACATTCTATTGCTAAATAGAATCCATCTAAGTTTTTCTTTTCATTTATAAAAATTATGTTACTTTTATTTATTGATAATCGACCATCTGTGCAGTTCAGTGCTTCAGGAGCTTAAGATTGGACAATGGCAGGTTTGTGTTCAAACCATGCACAGTCTGCATGTTACATTTGGCTGATTTCATTGCTCATAAATAACTCCAATGTTTTGCTGATGCTTGGATGTAACAGGCCTATGTAGCTGACACATTTCAAGCAATGCTGTTCAGCTGCCTGTTTAAAAAAAGTTTATTTTTTGAAAACTATGTTTGCAGTTGGTAGTAGCTTGCTTTACATTTTATTTAAAATTATTTAGAAGAAAAAAAATAACTAAAATCTGACATTTTAGGTGCCTTCATATTTTTTACAGGCTGAAGAGAGACATGGAAATATTGAAGAGCGTATGAGGCATCTGGAAGGGCAACTTGAAGAAAAAAATCAAGAGCTTCAAAGAGTATGTATATGAAGGACAACCACCCCCCATGACCAGTTTATCGATTTATATTCTGCATATAAGAAAATAATAGCTTCCTTCACTTTTTGTTATATTTATAATCTTTTTATAGACCCAGTGCATTAAAAAAAAAAGTTTAACAGTTTAACCATACAGTTTCCTGGATTATGAATGAGTTCCATTCCCAAATCTGTCTTTAAATGGAATTTGTATGTCAGTCAAAATAGATAGGTTTGGTATGTATATAATGTCAGTCAACTGTTTATCTTAGTACATGTTATGTAGTGTGCTTTTCTATGCATAAAAAACATTAAGGAAGCACTTCCAGACACACTAATACATCTTTACTATAATAGTACAGTATAATAATAATGTTTTAATACATGTCATAAAGTACTGCCCATTTGCTATCACAAACCATTGTATGTACCTCGAATTTTTAATATAATAGGTTTTATGGGCTTGGTTCATAACTATGGGTTGTATGTAAGTCAGATGTTAGTAACCCAGGGACTGCCTGTACAGAAATAAAATGAAATCTGATTTATAAACTAGCAAAAATGTAAAAACAAACCTAAATGCATGTTAAAGTGATTTTGATTTTTTCTTGTTTGTTTTCTTGAACATAAGGCTAGACAACGAGAGAAAATGAATGAGGAGCACAACAAAAGATTATCTGATACTGTGGACCGACTTCTGACAGAATCTAATGAACGCCTACAATTGCACTTGAAGGAAAGAATGGCTGCTCTTGAAGAGAAGGTAACACAGACAGGACAGTAGGATAGCATGGACACTTAGCTAAGACCTTAAAATCATGTTCACGTCATATACTGCTGCAATCACTGTATTAATCAGATGATCCATTTACGTTTCTAAGTTTTTTTTTGATCTAATATAGTCTTAGAATGAATGGTTTCTATAAAAAATACAAGATGAAGCTTTTAAGTGAATATAAATGCTGTATGACATATAAATCTTGCATATTAGCATGATCTTATGAGGGAAATGTATTAATACATGTTGCACTATTGTGATGAAAATATTTCATTTATCTTTCACCTAGAATGAGTAATATAACAGTGATTAAATACAAAAAATAAATAATTTGGGCCATAGAGGGATTTGCTTTGAATTATTCAAATATCTCAAATGACTTACATCTATTTCTAGTCTAAAAGTAAAATTATAAATGAATTTGTATCACCAACAGAAAAATAGTCAATCTACTAGGGGGTTTTAGAACCTGAAATTTTCAGCTGTTTTGTTTTGAAACAATGATTTGTACAGTCTGAAATTTGATTCACAGTTATATATGTCTCACTGATGGTTGGCAGTTACCAGACCAGCAAGATTTTTGTAAGCTGGTAGCCAATTGCAGAGCATAAGCAAAGATGGGGCTAGAATTCAGGTGAATAAATCATATTGGAAATTTAGATTAAATACCAATTACTACTTAAGATAGGCTTTTCCTGTGTTACATAGAAGAACGTGTAGAGGGAAAAATATTTCAGTGAAAAGTTGAATGGTTTGATTAATTTACCCAATAAGAAGTAGAAGGCATGTATTCTGCCCACATGCAACTCCAAATATCAAGGTATGACCACTGTATCATTACTACACTATTTGTTTAACTTTACCCTACAGATTTGAAAACAATGCAGTATCTTAAATCCCGCTTTATAGTAATACGGGTAGAGCACAAAACTTTCAACATCAGTAATCACTTTTCAAAAAAGATTCTTTTCATTATTTTTGATGCAACTTATTTTCACATCTTATGACATGTACAGTCTTCTGAATAGCTTGAATTCCATTTTTATATCTCTAATATTTTAACAATTATTGTTGTTGTTAAGTGCCATTGAACAATTATTAGAAATTATTAATTCTATATTTGAAATATAGATCTAGAAATTAGACACTTAAAAATTATGATCTGATTATTTCTTCTCTCTTTGTTTTTTGGTTAATAAAAATAAATTAATTTGAGTTGTTTATTCATACCACCTCTTGCTATATTCAGTGCTTTACTCAACTTTTCTCATCTGAAAACTAACATAATAATTATTTCTAATTAAGTAGTACTCAGAGAAGAGGCAGGTACAACTTAAAATGTAATACTTATTCCATATGTTCATTCATGTGTTACAAAAAAATATTTCTTATTTAAATTACATATTTCTCAAAGTATTAAAATGCCATGTTTAAAATATTCCATTGAAGTTAGTTTCCATAGAAACCAAAATGTCCAATAAAAAAAAAACCAAAGATTCTTGAGTGATTAGACATGAATTTATACATTTATTATCTTCTATTTAATTTATAAATTTCTTGTTTTTCTGCAGAATGTATTAATTCAAGAATCAGAAACCTTCAGAAAAAATCTTGAGGAATCTTTACATGATAAGGTATTATGGAAACCTACATTATTTGCCTGATTTTCTTTTTTAACAGAAATGGATATTGTGTTGCAAAATAAATTTGATAAGAAGTAATTATTGGATGTTTTGTTTTTCAACAATGTTGACTTTTATATGTACAGAAAAGTATATGTGTATGTGTAGAATGAAATTAATTTTCACAAACTAAACATATTATAAATCAACAATCTGGAAGACCCCCTAATTTTAGATTCAGTCACGAATCACCTCCTCAAGGATAATTAATTGAGGGGGTGATTATTACATTGACTTAAAAAAAAAAATCAGTTTTGCCTTGCTTTTCATTTTATATAAGTGGAGTAAGTATTTATGTACTTATTTGTGCTTAGATTGAGAAGTCATTTTGGCGAAAGAAGAAAACAGCAAAAAATGTGTTTTTTGGCGAAAGAAGAAAATAGCAAAAAATATACTTAAACTATTAAGTATAAGAACTGTGTTAGTTACATATTTAGAAACATGAATCCAGTTCCAAAGTAGCTTAAAAATGTAACTGGGAAGACAAAACATACCTTTGACAAAGCAATGAGGATTCAGGATAGCAGAAGCCAAGTGCCAAATGAGTGAAGTAGACAGCGAGAACAACTTGGAGAGATCACCATACATTGCTGCTATGAAGAATGCTCACGGAGATGAAACTTGACTAAAGCTTTAAGGAAAGATAGGACCTTGCTACAAAACTTTCAAATGCAGTGCATGTGGCATGGTCACAGGTGCTTATTTGCAGGGGAAGGGGTGAGTAGAGAGTATGGTTTCTTAAGTAATAATAAGCTTAACAGTTTGACTGAAAGCAGTGATTTCCTATCATAGGATATGTAGAAGAAGAGGTAGAGAAGGATCAGATGGTGAAATCTTAAAACATGTCATTGCTAATATGTCTTTTCCTCCTTCTTTAGCCTTTAAAATTCTTAAGTTAGCAGTTTTTATCTTATTTCATTTGATTAAATAAGATACAAATTTCTAACTTAAGAAGTGATCTATAAAATTTTGTTGAACAAAAGAAGGGAGGATAAAGAAAAAGAGAGTGTGAGAAAAGGAAGAAAGAAAAACTAAAGGGAGAAAGGGGAGGAGAGAGGAATGGAAGAAAGAAAGGATAGAGGATGGGGAGGAGGGGGGAAGGGGAAGAAAGAGGGGAAGGAAAGAAGGAAGGATCTGGCAAAAGTATGGCATATAGAAGATACCAGAAAAGATGAGAGAGCAAATGAGGAAGAGAGCAATTTTACATTTAAGCCTTTTCATGCTATATATTATGATGGCAATTTAAAAAGCATAACTATCTTGTTGCCATAATCAAGGTGCCCACAATCTCCTGATAGGTGAACTATTGCAACATAATATGGCAGCTAGAAAGGAGTATCTAATTATTTCTGACTTCATTTGGAAAGGCTACATAGAGGAGATAACATTTTAGCCACCTCTTAAAAATAAATGTGATATTAACATGTAAGAAGAAGGGCATGACATTCTAGGCAGAAAATGCAGCCTATTCATAGCAGAGAGAAAATAAAGATGGTTGGTTTGAGGAATCTCTGAATTTTGCTGTGACTGGTATGTGTTTGAAGAACTGGATCATAACCAGATTATGATGTTTGGACTTGATATTGTTATGCAATGTTATTTTATCCAAAGCTCTGTGTGTTCCTGGCAACATGCCCAGAACCCACTCCCCCACCACCTACCCAAGCCTTTCAGCTACACCAATCTGCCTTAACAACCAGGAACACTGCTTACTTCATACTTTGCATTATTCTTATATAACTCATCAGAGAAAGAAAATCTCAGGTCATACACCATTCCTGGACAATCATCCCACACAGCTGAACACATTCCCTCATTTGACCACATCTCCTGTTGTTAGGTGTCATCAAGTCCGTTCCAACTCAGAGAAACCCCAGATACAACAGAACAAAACACTGCCCTGTACTACATCATCCTCATTTCGTGGTGTTGGTAGTGGGGGAGGTTTCCTTTTTGGTGTTGACCCTCTACTTTTTCAAGAAAGATGTCCTTCTCCAGGTGCTGATCCTTTCTGATAACATGTCCAAAGTACACGAGACAAAGTCTCACCATCCTCACTTCTAAGACGCATTCTGGCAAAGTCTTTTCCAAGAGAGACTTGGTCATTCCTCTGGCAGTCCATGGTAGTGTAGTCAATATTTTTCACCAACATAGTTCAAATGCATCAATTCTTCTTCAGTCTTCTTTATTCATTGCCCAGCTTTCACATGCAAATAAGGCAACTGAAGATACCATGGCTTGGCTTAGGCACACCTTAGTGCTCAAAGTGACATCTTTGCTTTTTAACACTTTAAACAGGTCTTTTGCAGCAGATTTGCCAAATACAATACACTGTTTAATTTCTTGAAGTCTGCTTCTGTGAGCATTGACTGCAGATCCAAGTAAAATGAAATCTTTGTCAACTTCAGTTATTTCTCCATTTACCATGAAGCTGATTATCGGTCAGGTTTTAAGTATTTTTTTTCTTTATATTAAGGTGTAATCCATACTGAAGATACCACATTTCCCAGCCCTTTATAACTCCTCAAATTACCATACTACCATCTGTAAGCCACCATCCGTCATCAGCAAAAGCCTCCATATGCTCAGCTTGTTCTCTCAGTGTTTCTTTTCATCACCATAATCTCTAAAATTTTGAATTCCACATCTCAGTTCTTTTTTAATCTACGCTATCAGGGTTTTCATTCAATCTCATGGATTTAAATATCCCATATATAGATTGAGCACTCCTATATTTAGATCACTCAACTGGTCCTATCTCCTAAGGAGCATTCATATATTGAAGTGCCAACTCAACATCTCCATTTTGACACACAGGCATTTCAAAATTAACAACTCATTTGGTTCCCTACACTACTACCAACTAACCTGCTTCTTCAGCAGTCTTCTCCATAAATTTCAACTTCTTCTTTTCAATTACTCAGTTTAATAACTTTGACATTATTTTGACCTGTCTTTATCTTACACCCTATATCCAATCCAGTAACAAATCTTACTAGTTCTGTTTTATTTT